TTTTTGGTCTCATTTCTATGCAAATATATTTGTGCACTTGAAACTGAATTTTCATTAAGAAATCGGAGGCTTGTTTTAAGTAAATAATTTCTTCATATTGATGAAAAAGATAAATTAACTGATAATATGGGCAGGGGGGAAATGTCTTATCAGTGAAATAAACTAGTTATTTACTTAAAACAAGACTCCTATTTCTTTCTAAAAAATTTAACTGACAGTAAGTTTGTCTTATTTCAAGTTTACTAAGATATTTGCACTAGAAACTAGACCAGAAATAGTTGGTGAGATGTTGTGTTTTGCAGTGGATGCTATTTAGGAAGCATAAATCAAGCCATCACAACCCCTAAGACTTCTTCTGCTCCCAGTTAATATTAAATATTTAGTCTCTCATTGAAGCATTAAAGATATTAAATATTCGCTGTCGCTGGGTAATTTTGTTTCATGAAGCTGCAGTCCTGTTTCAGGGTTAGAAATCAAGAAAGCACTTTGTGACAACATGAGGTAATCTGGAAGGCTTCAGAAAATAACAACAAGCAACAACTTCAAAGATATTTTTAAGGAGTTTTGATTGGTTTACACTGGTGTCCCTTTCAGCAGGTGATCTTCCAAAATTACTCCAGGAGTTCTTCACAAACTCACCAGGAAGGTCACAGAAGAACCAAAAACATCTAAAAACGTCTCTTTCTTCAGCTAAAGTCTGAGTTCCTGATTCAATAATAAGGAAAATGTTGGGTAAAAATTAGAGTTTCAAAGCTAAAATCACAGCTGACTAAAAGTAACACATTTACCAAGAAATGGATCAATAATCCCAGAGATTTATAATCTATGACAACATCATTCACACATCCTTTTTGTACTATTGTTTTCGTGAAGTTCTGGTCCAGTTTGTTGTCTGTCCAGGCAGTTTCTCTAACCTTTAGTCCTTCCTCTTCCGTCTATCCAGAAATACCCTAAATTGTCATTTTTATTCATCAAATTAACCTCATTTATCAGTTTCTGTCTTTAGTTGTGCTGCAGCAAAGAAAATACTAAAATTATTGACCTGAAAGCAAAATAAAGAAAGAAATCAATAATAAACATTCAAATATTTATGATTGACACATTTAAATTATTTGAGATAGATTTATTTGTCTTCATGTGTTGCTTTTTTCAATCTATTTGAAGTTATAAAATGAATTCGTTGTTATCAATTAATTGAATTGTGTCTCCAAAAACAATTTGTTGAAGCGCTGTGAAGTCTTGCATCTTAATCTCTGCATCTTTTCTATTTTCTTTCCTCTATATTCGTCCGTTCACAACAAACCCCACCCATTTAGATATAAATGTAAATGTTTACTTCAGATTCCTCTCTCTCTTCAGGGATGGGAGGGCCGAAGGAGAAGGTGATTAGAACACGGATGCCGTGCAGCGATTTGAAACTAGTTCAGAGACGCAGCTCAACCACAACGGGGACAGAAAAAAGAAAAAGAAACGGGAGTGAAATAAAAACAAAGCATGAGGATCACTGTTAAATTCAGACTTCTTTCTCAAGCACCTCCTGATTGGTGCATCTCTGAGGAATAATGAAACATGTGAGGCTGCAGCAGCAGGTCTCCAGAAACAAGAAGAGAAGCAGGTTTTAGCTACGGTGCCATGCTTGCTGCATAGAGAGGCGTTGGCAACACCAGGGAGGCTGCAGATGGAGGAGTCACCTTGAGGCAGAAGAGGGGAAGGCGGAGGAACGCCATGCAATGCCAATATATTAGTTTTCAGGTCATGATCCTGCAGATATACTGAGCAACACTCTAACTGATCAGCATTTTTAAATGGAAAAAAAACTTAGTTTGTGGCAAGATTTCAAGAAATGAAGTGATTTTATTGAAGAAATCAATCACAAAGAAAAATAAATGGAAAGAAGAGCTTCTGTTTATGGTTGAACATAAACCATAAATGTTTTTCAAATTTGAGCCTGAACACATTTGTTTTCTTCTGAAAATTTAATCAGATTGATTATATTGGTTTATGCTTCATGATATGTCATGTTTCATAACAAATGGAGAAGCAGCTCTCAGCTTCTATGCAACGCAAATCTGGAACAAACTTCCAGAAAACTACAAAACAGCCGAAACACTGAGTTACTTTAAATCAAAGCTAAAAACCCTCGTGATTAGCAATGACTTTGACTCATAATAAATTGAACATCAATCATTATATTTGATGTATTGATGATTGCACCTGACAAAATTAAAAGTTTCTGACTGATTTCACATTTAATGACTGTTTGTTGTTTCTATGTTTTCAAGATGTAAAGCACTTTGAACTGCTGAAATTTTCTATTTTAAAAACACGATTGATTGATTGATTGATTGATTGATTGATTGATTGATTGATTGATTGATTGGTTGATTGATTGATTGATTGATTGATTGATTGAGCAAATCAAACAGATTTTAAACTACCTTTATGTTGATGCTGGGTTGGATTTTTTTAAAAGAGCATTAAAGATTTAAATGTAATTTCATCTCTATAAATGTTGACAACTACAATTTTGTCAACATTTCCAAATGCTACTTTCTGTAGCATAAATTCGCAATAAAACTGTGAAAATGTTTGTTTTAATTTCTCAGGGGCTGAAAAAGTTGATATATGAACATTTCTATAAGGTTTTGTGACATGGGGGATAATGTTTGTTTGGAGGAAAAATCGAAATTTGTTCAAAATAAAATAAAAAAAGTTAAAGATTATTATTATTACTATTATTATTATTATTATTATTATTATTATTATTATTATTATTATTATTATTATTATTATTATTTATCTCGGTTTAAAATCCATCAAATTGATTTAGACTTCGCTTCCAATATTTAACCACAGTGACATCTGCTGGTGAAATACAGCCACTGATTTAAAGTAAACCTGTTAAATTCTTCGTCATATTTTCCATATTGTTAAATAAAAAAGAGAAACATCCTGTTGGGAAATAAATGTGAAAGTATTATTAACTTAATATTGTACCAAAACTTTAAAGGTTGAATATTTCTGTGACATCACGAGTTATAAGGTGGATTCTTCATTCATTTTGTTAAATAAATAAGCGTCCAATAGCCAATTTCAAACAGTTGTTTTAGAAATATGCAACACCAGACTCATGATTCTCCAGCTATGGTTCAGTTTTACCTTAATTCATAAAAGCATGAATAAAGATGACCCTTCTTGTAACTGCATAACCTTGTGTCCATTTTAATTATTTCTGTAAAACTAGCCTGAACTTGTCTAATTAAGAGAAACAATCCCTCAGTTCTGTCAGTACCCCTGAGAGCATCCTTAATTTTACTCTTCACACTCCGTCCTATTAAAAGCATTTTTAATGAAGAAAGTGAGCCGCCAGAGAGCAAAGCAGGAAATCATACCAATGCACGACTACATGCCTGTGCACACATAATAAAACAAGAAGCTTTAACGCTTCAAACCACGGCTGGTTCTTCAATCTGAGGAAACCTGGAGCTGGACCTGGAGGCTTGCTCAACATGTTATCCTCTTTAACTTACTGCCATTTTGCCAAAAAGGCTTCTCAACACATTTCAAAATTAATAAAATCTCAATGTACATCTAAACAAATAAAGTAGTGAGGCTCTTTGTAGGACGGAAATGTGTAATTTGTAGATCGAAAATGTAAAAAAAGAATTTTGCAAGGATGCCTCATTAACAGAAAAGCACTCAATTTGCAAATTGAGAAAAATAAATATATATAAATATACTTATATATATATGCATCCTCAGTAAACAGAGTAGGATTCAGGTCACTGTTTCTTTGGAAACTTTTGCAGTATTTAGCCCAATGTAAAACATTAACTAAAAGCAAATTCACTTCCAAATTTAATAGAAAATTAAAGAGAAAGCCAGAAAAATGTTAATACTTTACATCATATTTTCCATTTCCATTGTAATAATTTTATACTAAGCAAAAACGAAAAGGTATCTGTTCTTGCAAGCCACAGAACAAGAAAATAACCCAGTTCTTCAATTTAAAAAGAAGAAAAAAGATGGAGCATAAATTTTGTGAAGAAATTTAAAATGTTTTGGTTAAATCTGGAGCCACAGCCAGCAGGGGACCTCATTGAGCTGTGTTTTAACATTATTAAGATCATTTGATATAGTACAAATTAATACAGAAAACAAAATTTTTCACCAATGAATGATTAAATGTAGGTGGGACAATAAAACAAGAAATTTATTGTGCAACAATAAGACATGATCTTACATTTTGTTTGGTCATACTGAACGTTTTAATTATCTAAAATTCATTTTCGACTCTTCCAATGTCAACATTTCACAAATGAGTCTGAAAAAAAAACCCGAAATAAAGTGGTGTTTACCATTCATTTCATCTTGAAGAATGGTCAAGTACATATAGATTTTAGAAGGGGAAATTTAGTGCATCTTATCTTGTAAAAAATCTTCCTATTTCAAGAGGTGGACAAAAATATATTAAACATCGGTTTGGTCGTAATGCTGCGTTCCAGTTGTATCAGGAATTGGGAAATTCCGATTTCTCAATCTGAAAAATGAACTGGTGGGCCCTCTTACTTCCCACTGGGAAAGTGGGAGCAACTCCGACTACCTCCAGTCACGATGTTTACAGCCACTCACATGAATATTAATAAGATGTGGAGGAAACATGTGTAATTTACACATGTATTTTACAAGACACGTGCAAAAGTGCGTCAAATACCAATGTTATAATGCGCCTGAAACACTAAACTTTCAACAAATTAAAAGTTGGGTTTTCTTATGGAAGATAAAGCTTAAAATTATGTTTGGCGACGCCATGTTGAAATCCAGACTTCTTAACAACTAAAATGCTGCCACCAACGTCCCGGACGTTAAGCCCAGCTCCGAGTTCCAACTTCCGAGGTAACCAAACGCAGCATTGAACCCCTGGATCTCCAGCCAACCGCTCTGTGTGACGTCATCAGAGGGATGCGCGCGCGTCTTAGCAACGGAAGTTGTGTGTTTTGGCTTCGTCCGCGTACTCCCCCCGACCCCAACACACCTCCATGCTAGCGCTGGCTACGGCTCACTTCCAGTGCGATAATGCCGAATTGTTGCGTGACCGGTTGTCACAACCGCTACTACCCCGGTTCCACCGTGAGGTTCTACAGAGTTCCCAGCGGGAACCGGCAGTTCCAGGTCCAGAGGAGGCGTTTATGGATGGAGGCGATCCAACAAGCCAACGGGGGCAGCAGTGAGATCCGTGCAGACGCTCGCATTTGTGGCGTTCATTTCGTCTCAGGTGGCGTAAGGAGCAGCTTAGCAGCGAGCAAAATATATTTAATAATATGAGTTTGCTCAGTATTTTCTTCCTGAACTTCTTTTTGTTCACAGGAGAGGCTTCCACGGACCCAGACAAGCCGAATTTCGTCCCCACGTTGTTTGGATGTAGTAAGCTACGCCAGGGTCCAACTAAAAGCGCAAAATGGTAACATATAGTGACTATTATTGTTAAAGGGATTTAAGTATCCAGTCTAAATTCTAAATACATTCCTGCATTTTGGCTGTAACCTAAATTTAGACAAACTACTGATTAAAGATCAATATAAAGTATAAAGTGTTTAAACACTGCAGTATGCCAATTATTGCCATGTTTTGCTGTTCAGTATTTCCATTTTGGATACATTCAAAGGCATTGTCACAACAAAATTGAGCATACATTAGGAATTATATTTAAAAACACAATGTTTGTACCCCCATTTGACTTATCTAAATGTTTTCACACCATCCATTCCAACATAAACATTCATATCACCGTACCAGCAATAATTGCGTAAATCAGTTAAGAGCTCAGATAAAGCCAAAATAACTTGGTGAAAAGAAGAGTTGCGAAATTGTATTTACAACAAATTACAAAACCCTACAATGGTGAAATTATTGGAAAATATTGCGATAACTACATAAGTTGTGATGTATTTCGTTTTTCTTTCCTCTCTTTTTCATCTGTGCTTACACAATAAATTAAAGTGTGGAAAGGAAGTTCATAATACTTGGATTATATTGGTTAACGATTATTGAACTCCAATCAGTTCTTTGCCATCTGAAAACTGCACACACTGATATGATGATCTATTTTGCTGCTCTTTTAAGATACAATTGGAGATCTTTTCTGTTTTTTATACATATATATTTATATATATACACATATTTGTGAAAGAATATTGGTTACATATTCTTAATATGTGACAACTGAGTCAAAACCAAAACTTTATCAAAATGTTTATGCTTCCATTTGATTTTATTTATTTTATTCTATTTTTCCACACATAAAAACATTTTGTGAGCATAAGACGTTTTAATATCAAAAACCCCTACATTTCCTTTAATTTACAGAAAAAAACTGAACTGCTTTAAATATTGATATTGATTTTGTTTCGCTCCAGTAATTGCTTAATTTGTCATGCATTATTTTCTTAAGAAATTTGTTTTTATTGATCTTGTCAAGCTAAGCCCATCAATTTGAATCTTTGCATGTGGTTTGTTTGCCTAAGTAATCATCTCATTCAGTGAAAGCTGCAAATCATCTAGTTTATTTGAAGCAGAATTTCAGAATAAATTGAAGGAAATGTAAGTAACAAGTGTGCTTCAGTGCCATCCCTGTGTTTTTTTGAGCATACTTTTTGTTAAATAAAGTTGAGCACTTCTCATTAAATGATCTATCAAACAGGATTACACGTCATGTTTACGTGTTAATAAAAAACTGTGGGTTTTTCATCATCATTCTTGCCTTTCTAAAGGTTACACATCAGCACATCAGCGTGCGTGGTATTGATTTGAGATTTAAACTGACAGAAGAGCAAATAAATGGTTTATAACTGCAAGTCTAATCATGTTTCGTGCAGATGATGCGTCTAATTATGACCGTTAGCTGGTTTGCTGCCATGCAGCTCTGTGTGCAGCAGACTGTGATGCCTTGTGCAGTCTGACAGCTTTCTGTCAGAACTAGCCGAGCTGTCGGGGGGCATCAGTTCCCCTTCTCTGCATATGAGCCTGTTTCAGTTCAGCGCAATTTGGTCCTTCGACAACTATCGATAGATACTCAAACAGCCCAGAGGAATTGTGTTTGGATTGTGTTGGAGATGCTAGCGCAGTCTGGTCTAAGCTCATTTACCATGTGCACTTGATTATATGATGTGAATAGATAGAAGTTGTAACAATAACTTTTATAGGTTTACTATTAAAATTTTAATAGAAAAAAGAAAGACGGATATCCTTCTAACCACTATAAAAACATGTAAAGGAAGTATCTTTTTTCTTTGTTTTTACATTTTAGTAGACGTGCAATATATTGGCACCAACGTCGGTATCAGTGGATATTGGTGATTTTTTGAACATATTGCTGTCAGGCCAATATATCAATTTTTTATCTCTGGTGTTTTTCCCCCAAAGGTATTAAAATATATCTGCTATCAGAAGATATCGGTTATTGGCCATAACAGCAAAATTAATATCTGATATTGATATTGCCCCAATTTTTCATATTTTATTCAAATTTATGTATATTATTAAAAAATGCATGAAGTTACTTCTGTCCTTTTACCCTCTATTGTAAATACTGACCAGATTTTTTCCAGTGGTTGGAAGGACTCCCTGCCATCACCTTAATCTTCAACTCACTCCACAAATTTTAATTCACGTTTAATTCAGAACTCTAGCTAGAAAAATCCACTCCAACTTACATGTTGGTAAAAAAAAAAAATTAACTAAACAAAAATATGTCAAGAGTATAATTAATTGTTTGTTTCTCAGTCAGAACTGATGAGAAACTAACCCTAAGCTTAAATTTTAACTTTAACATTTTTAAAGTTGACATAAAATGTGAAAATATCACAGGATAATTATGTATCCTGAAATTATTACCAATGCCTAAAAACCAGCTATAAAGTCTTTAAAAAGCCTAACATAAAACAATGAAATAAATACTGATTTTTTTTTTGCACTTTGATTCAGTTTCATCCTCATTAAAGTGTATAAAATGTTTTTATCCTTGTTGTTAGCATGTGGCCTGCCTATGTATTCACACACTACGTTACCATTGTGACACAAACTGTTTCACCAAAGAGATTCTTTAATCCGTCTTTGATATCACTGTTACTGGTGTGTTAAAAACATTGAATAAATTAAGAATTCATAGCCCACAAGGGACGCAAATGCTGCCTGGTGGCCCGCCAGGCTTATGACACACATCTAAAATTACAAGATTTAAAAGCATAATGTCATACTATGCCACATAATTAGATCTTTTTATTATTATTATCATTATTCTTTCTCAAAGGACTTCTTCTGCCTGTCGAAGAAGTCAAAGACAGAAAGCGAATGTGGAGACCAAAGCCACAACAGCAAGGGGAGACGATAAGGAGAATGAAGACACGGCTGCTGTAAGAGACGATGACGAGACTGAAGACATGACTACTGTGAGAGACGATGAAGAGACTGAAGACATGACTACTGTAAGAGACGATGAAGAGACTGAAAACATGACTACTGTAAGCGACGATGAAGAGACTGAAGACATGACTACTGTGAGAAACGATGACGAGACTGAAGACATGACTACTGTAAGAGACGATGAAGAGACTGAAAACATGACTACTGCGAGAGACGATGAAGAGACTGAAAACATGACTACTGCGAGAGACGATGAAGAGACTGAAGACATGACTAATTTGACAGAAAATGAAGACATAACTACCCCAAGAGATGATGAAGAGACAGAAAAATCACCAACCCAACCTGCATCTGAGTCTTCAATGGATCACCAGCCCTCTGCTTTGATTGAAACTACAGATGAATTTTTACCAGAAATGCAAACTTTGCCAGTGTCAAAGGTAGCAGTCACCACCTCTTTGTTGTGCTTTCATACATTTGTAGACTTGTAACTTAGCTTTTTTTATTTAACACATTTGAACTTTTTCAGTACAGTAATAATATATTCTGGTTTTTTTTGCCTAACAGGAGGAAGAAACACAAGATGAGAAGATCCATGATAAAGACCCAGAAGTGACCGAATGTGAAGCTGAACCTGAAACGATGGAGACAGAAAACAAATCCAGCCCTAGTCCATCACCACAGAAACCACCAGGAAAAAAAACAGATAAAATGAATCCTTTTGTGCTCCTAAAGCCTTTACTTTTACCTCAAGGTGCTTATCATGTTGACCTGAGCGCCTCTACCGCGGTGTCGTCCAAAGAGCAGCGTGAAGACACGAGTCAGGGAGGACTAACGGAGTCCAGTGCCAACAGGGATCAGCCGTCCTTTCCTTGTAACCTGTGCGATCGAACCTTCACTACAAGCCACTACCTGAAGCGCCACAAACTGCTGCACGTTCGAGACGTGAGGAAGTGCCTCAGGTGTGGCGCGCTCTTCTGCCGCCGCCACAACCACGTTTTGTTCCAGACGCGGGCCGAGCCTCTACCCGAGTCTGAGGAGAGTTCCTCCAGCAGCGAGGATGAATCTCTGGACGCAGAGCAGGAGAAAGCAAGCAAAGTTACAGAAAAGGCTGACAACCCTTTGAGCGTTCAGACTGAAAGACCTCCAGACACTCCTGCTCTCAGTAACTCACCGTTACTGAAGACTTCCAACCTGACGGACGTCGGAAAACCTCTCCTGGTGTCGGTGAAGCCTGCTGCTGTTCCCTCTCCACCCTCTCCGATCACCAGGTTCCCCAGCAACCCAGGAACCGTGTTTCAGATTAAACCGCTCCTGTCGGACATCTCTCCCGCTTTGAAACGACCAAATCTTCCTCAACAACCCCAACTCCCACCTTCCCTGAAGATCTTTTCCACTCAGCACCTCACCTCAGCCTTGCTCAATGTTCAGAGAAACTACAGATACATTTTAAGCAAGCCTAAAAACGACATGGTGAAAGTCAAGGAGGAACCAGAGGAGCCAGTTCAAATTTGCCCAGATGAGGAGCCAGTAAAGCAGGTCAAACTGGAGAAAATCGCTTATGACCTCGAGATGGTAATTTGACTTAAAGCTGCTAACCTGACTTCAGTCAAACTCACTTCAGATCAAATGCGTCTCCTATAGAACAGTGTGGAATGGTCTCATCCAGATTTCATTGTAAATCTCTACCTAAGACGACATCTTCTCTTCTCAAACATTCTCCCACTCTCAGAGGCCCTTGATGACATCACATAAGGTAACCAATCAGAGTAAACATCCTAAATATTCAAATATTTTCAGTCATATTCCGCTGTTGATGTGGCAGTATGTCTCAGAAATGGAGGAAATTTTGATACTAAGCTTTCATGAAAAGCTTTTTGACTTTTCATAATCTGGAATCATGGGATTTTTCTCCTCAATCATAAACCATTTTCAATTTAAGTGCAAGTCAAAGTCACTCATCCAGATTAAATCTTATCAGTGTCAGCTGACCAGACAGATTCCTGTGCCTCTCATGATGCCATCAAGACAAACACAACATAATTATGAGGTCTGTTTGCGTTCTAAAACAGTATTTTTTGTGAAATAATGCAGTGCAAATCAACATGTCTTTACCAAATCATTATTTTATTTTAGATATAAGTGTAACCTAATCAATCCCTGGTAATCCTGATTGATTTCTCCACTGTAACTAAAGTGTAAAACTGAAATCAATTTTTACTATTAATTATTAGAGGACTGCTACTTTCTGGTATATATTTTTTATGTTTTTGGGTGTTGGATTAATCAAATAAAATGTTGTTATTCTTGATCTATGTGATGTTATATCACTACTGTTGGATTCTAAATGACACCTTTACATGTAATTATCAAGCTTATTTTTTATTTCTTGTTTTGTTTTTTGAGTCGTATTCAATCAGTTTTTTTGCACACAACCAACATTAGCAGTGTTTCACATTCCGCATTATTTTTCTTTTCGTTTTAGTTTCTTCTCTTATCTACCTCAGCCTGCTGTAAAAGCAAATAAAACTCATTTCGTATTACAGATGAATGCTGCTTTTGGACACAATGTATGTATGTTTAAATACTCTAGTATTTCTGAAATAAAAGTATTAGATTTTTGTGCAAACTAAAGAAAAGTGGCAACACTGATTCCTGTTTTTCTTTCCAGAAAATAGCTGTCAGGTTGTAAGATCTGAACTAGTTTTGCACCTGCTTTGTTCACTGAATAAACAAAATGTGTGTCACATTTGGTGTTTCTTACTAGTTTCGCACTGTGTAGATTTTACTTTCACCTCGGGTCAATCTCTCGGCATTAATGTTTTCCGTAGACGTCCCGAGATCTTTTCAAGTTGTGAAACAAAGAGATTTTTGTAAATTACCTGGAAGCTTTTTGTTTTTCATTCCTGATTTATGTTTTCTAGATTTGAGAGAAGCTAAAATCATGGAAAATTACTGTCTGGTTTTCAAAATGCCAGACAATATAGTTTGTACCTTTTTCAAAGCTAATATTCTTAGCTTTGAGTTCTGCTTTTCTAAATTATGAGATTAACAAATATAATAGTGATTACATTGATAAATGCAGTTCTTTGAGGGCATGTTAGATAAATCAACATTTTAGCACCTTCATAGGGACAGTTTTGACATATTTATATATCACTGAAAATTTATTAACCAGCTGAAGAAGAGATGCTTCAAACAGTGTTTTTCTTTATTTGCAATCTTGGTTATAAATTTAAATGTAAAGGAGTTTGGAAATGAGACCAAGCTCTAAGTAGTGTCAATAATTTACACTACATTGAAAATTCATTTTTAACTTTTCATTGTTTCTCTTAAATTATAGCTTCGATGTTTAACTTTTTTATATTGGAAGTCAGAAGTTTCCCAGTTTTTTTCTTGAACATTTCTGAGTTTGTTCTTGTACATTTACAACTTTTGAAATTCAAAGCTTTTTGAGTTTTTTTTTCTCAAAAATCTCTGATCTTAATCTTAAAAACTTCTGAGTTTGTTCTAACAAAGTTTTGACTTTTGGATGACAGAAATGTTCTTTTCCTCTGCAATTTCTGGGGGTAATCTCAAAATTTGAGTTTTTTCTTTTAGCAAAATTTAAATTTAGAATTTCTGTTATACTCTCAAAATTCCTGAGTTTAATCATAAAAATTTCTGAGTTTGTTCTAGCAATTTTTTTCTTCACTTTTATAGGTCAGAAATGCTTTTTCTTGAAAATTTCTGAGGTTAATCTAACAATTTCTGAGTATTTTAGCAAATTTTTAATTTTTGAAACTCAGAAATACCTACATTTTTTTCTAGTAATTTTCTCAGCTTAATCTTAAAAAAATATATTTGGCTTTGTTCTAAAATTTTTGACTTTCAGAGGTCAGAAATTTCACTTTTTTTGTGGGAAAATTCTGAGATCATTCTCAAATTTCCTGATTTCTTTAGGCAAAATGTTCTCCTTATTTGTTTTTCTGTCTGCAAATGCCCTAATACATTTAAAGAAACAAAAGCATCCATTAAGTACCTCAGAAACCCAGAAGGGCTTTCTGTGTCCATCAGCCAGAGGTGCACCTGAGTCCATCTGCAAGCTGTACACGTCCCATTGGTTCGGATACGCCGGTCACAATGGCCGACGCCTCTGATTGGATGCTTTACCCTTCAATTTAACGCACTCGGAGCTCTGATTGGTTGGCTCGTGTTCTCGCGTGCCTTCATACATGATAAACCAGTGGTGCTGATGCTGTGACAATGGGAGCCTTCCAGATAGGCACCATCTGAACTGAGGGTCCGGCAGCAGCTGCACGCAGGATTGACGGACAGCAGAGAAAACATCCGGATAAAGACACAAGGAGGAACCTCCTGCTTCTGCCCGGAGAGGGTGAGTCTTACCCCGGAAACCAAGCTGGCATTCCCGTGCCGTCCAGTAAGCGGTGTTTGGGGGCTGGGGAGCGAGTCTCAGGTCCGATAGGCTGGAAATCCTGCTGGCTTCAGCAGCTTCAGGGCGTTTAAGACGTGTTTTCTGCACGGCGCGCCGCACACAGCACACTGAACCAGCCGTGCTGTTTATTAATGCATCTGTGAGTCAACTCATCCCTTTGCTGGACTGCATTGCGGAGAGCAAGCCTTGCAGAATGGCATCTAATAATCATTCAAATCCGGTGTAACACGCTGATCTCAAGACCCGATCTCTCCTCATCGGTTTGCGGTTTTCACGTGTTTTTCATACTTTGATCATCAGGTGAGACCGAGCGAAACAGTTGTACCTGAAATTTCATCTATTGCAGGTTTTTCTGCAGCTGCTGCATGGATTATCACACGCTTGCTGTGATTTGAGTGGGATGCGTTGACTCGGATGCGCACAGTTCGCAATCGGTTAATCGAACTTTAATTGTAGAGCACTTTTCAAACAAACCAGTGTGACGCAAAGTTGTTTGCACAGATTGGAAAACAGTCATAAAAGAGCAAAGTGCTTGAATACATAAATGAATTAACAATATGTAGACAAATCAAACAATTTTAGAAGATGAGGAACTGAAATACAATGTGTGACACAGGGGCGCCATGCTAGAAGGGGCGCCATAATTATGATGGAAAAAATATTAATTGTCGGCATTTTGTGTATTTGACAGTTTATCAAGTACTTTTGGTTTAGTTTCTTGTGAAATAATTATCTGGGAACACTTAAATTAAGACAAAAGTAACTTTTTCAGCACAATGTATGAGCTTGGTTTAAGTCAAAAATTCAAAGTATTGATGAAAAGTACTAGCTACAAGTGAAATAATCTGCCAATGGATATTTCCCCAACTTAACTTACAAAACTGGAAAAACGTCTCATTCCAAATAGTCCTTTCTCGTCTACATCGAGAAATGATTGACTTTAAAGGATGAAGTTCTCTTTCTTGCTGAAAAGTTACTTGCAAATTAGTTTCAAGTTTACTAACATATGTGCAATAGAAACTTGACCGAAAATACCAAGTCTCTAGGTAAGACTTGTGTTTTTACATTGTATTTGCACAGTTTCTACCTGACTGCCGTAGACAAATCTAATAATATTTGTTTAGCCAGGTTTGTCTTGTCAACATGTCTTTTACAAGAAAGATCTGGCTAATATAGTAGATGCAAATGACTCAATTGCATATCTGCAACTTGAATGTAATGAGATCAGTTTTGCTTTTAAATACATTCAGAGATATAAATGTATTTATTCACAGGCCTGCTGTTTAAGCTCTGGTTGCAACCGTGATGTAGTTGGAGAGGAAAAACTTTAAGCTGTATTCCTTCTTTCTGTTCCGACGCAATTTGTTTTAAACTTGTGGATATGTTTTAATTTGTGTTTTAATTTGTTTTACTTTTGTGGAAACAGGTTGCTGTGTACATGGCACACAAACAGAAGTGACCATGTTACTTTTAAGAGACAGTAATGATACTGCATGATGACTATATAGTCTTAGAAAGTGAGGAAACACAGCAAATAAACTGTTTAACTTTTACAGCATAACCTGTTCTAGCTGCTCCATAAACGAAGGTTGTTTGGTTTCCATCTGGTTCCCCAGTCCAGAGATGGGAGTGTTCAGCCGGCAGAAGTTTTTCCAGGAGCTCACTCATGGCTGCCTGCTGCCTACAGCTCAGCAGGGCCTGGAGCAAGTATGGCAGCTGCTGGTTATCTGCCTGCTGTGTCGCCTGCTCTGGATGTTAGGTGAGCACTTTGGCTCCGTTCACGCTGCAGCCCGAAGTGACCCAACTCCGATTTTTATTGATGTGCCTTAATGCGAGCTGTACCCGATCTTTTCATGACATGAGACCCGAGTATGCTTGGATATCCGATACGTATTGTATTGGGGGATGGCGACCAATATCCGATCTTTTCCAGTCTGACCTGCAGGTCTTAGATTCACAAATCTTAACGGTCAGGTTGCGTTCATCCGACCTGAATGTCATTGATATTCAACCTACGTCACTTTTCTGCCCCCCGATACGCGAAAGCGGGAATTAAACCAACGACCCCGGCGGACTATAATGAGGATTAAGTTGTTCATATACTGACTCTGTTTGGACAACAAATTCAAAATTGTAAGCTGTGCTCCACTGGTAGCATCCGCGTTTACTTCCACAACACTGAGCACTTCTTCTTCTTCTTTTCTATTATGGCAGATCGCAAGCGACTTTAAGGTACACACCGCCACCTACTGTACACGAGTGTGTAGCAACACTACTTTACATCTGTTACATTCTGTTTTGTAATGTTGTATTGTGAAGATAAATAAATAATGCTTTCCTTGATGTGTAAATATCTACAATGTTTTCTTCATTTTCCAATATTCCTTTCACATAACCATGGAGGTTGGGAAAACATTGAGCGCCGCTCTCTGTGTGTGACATCATTGCGTCCTCTACTGCACATGCAGGACACTTTCAGCTCGTTTGCAGTTCACACACAAAAAAAATCAGATTTGACAAAGAAAATTGGAATTGGGTCACTTCAGGCTACAATGTGAACGCCAGTCATTTTGGCGTTTACCTTTTTAAGTGTCTATCTTGTAAATCGGTTTTAAAACTTAATTTGTCAGGTCTCCCTTCCTTCGTGAAGCACCTGTGCACGGTGGCAGGAGGTTTCTACACGTTGTACCTGTTCTTCGAGCTCCACATGATCTGGGTCGTCCTTCTCAGCCTGCTGTGCTACCTCTTCCTCTTCCTGTGCCGCCATTCGACCATCCGAGGAACCTTTCTGTCTATAACGGTTCTCATCTACCTACTTCTCGGGTAAAAACGTCGTTTTCAGATACCTGAAATATTTGTTTCTTTTATAAAGTGTGGACAAACACTAAAGTCGTAGTATTTTTATCTGTCTTGATCAGGGAGCTGCACATGATGGATACCACCAACTGGCACAAAATGAGAGGTAATGCGTTATCTTTCTAACGAGCGAAAATGTTGCAGTTGTAATTTGTAATGTGTGTAGGTTCACAGATGGTGGTTGCCATGAAAGCTATCTCCTTGGCTTTTGATCTGGACAGAGGTGTTGTGAGCAATGTTCCCTCGCCCATTGAGTTCATGGGCTACATCTACTTTGTGGGCACCGTCATCTTTGGGCCCTGGATCAGCTTCAACAGCTACAAAGAAGCTCTAGAAGGACGGAAGTTGGTAAGTTTGAGGCAGTAAACCTCAAATGTTGGAAAATATTTAGAGATTTATTTTACACTTATATCACTAAATCTGTGTCGGTGGTCACTGTGACGTGAACTCAAAGTGTGATTCATACAAAGGATTGTGCTTAAAAATAATAATCGATAAGTAGCTTAAGATTGAAAAGAAAAGCAGACGATACCAATGGAAAGAGATCAATGCCAGGATTACTTATGAGAGCAATTCATGTCTGGTGGAATATTTTTCAGTTTCTTGGTGTGAGCTTCTGAAATTTTGTTTTTAGACACTATTATAATACACAAAGATGGGTAGATACTCAATAAATTGTACTCAAGTAAGAGTAGCACTACTTCAATGTCTTTTAATTCAAGTAAAAGTTAAAAATATCCAATAAGTTATTCAGGGAAGACACAGATCTGTGCCTGGTAATTTTGTTTTGATTAAAACATGTTGGTTTTTCATTCAGTGGGTAGAAAATTAAGAAATTTTACTCAAGTAAGAGTAGAGATACTTCATAATAAAAATATTCAAGCAAAAGTAAAAAGTATAGCATAGTGAAATACTCCTTAAAGTAAATGTTTTTCAAAATAGTTACTCAAGTAAATGTAATTGAGTAAATGTAACAAGTCTGACAACACATTGCATGGCACCAGCACACAGATCTAGGTTTTCCTGGCCTGTGGTTGCACTGCGCCCCATGCTGACTAACTGCATATGCAACACACAAAATAAAAGAAAATAGACTTTTAAGACGTAAATGTCCCTGCGTTGACTAGTTTGCAACTCTTTATTAGGATGAACAAAGACAACAGTAAGTGGTTTAAAAGACCAATGTTTTTATTTCAGGTGGAATATATTAAGATGTTTTGTTAGAAATACCTAGTAAAGAAATGCTCTGCCAAATTTAAAAATTAAAAGACACTTTCTGTTGGTCTAATGGAAAAAAAATCCCAATAAAAAAGGCTGAATTTGTGAAAAGAAATTGTTAGCATGACAAAACGAACCAAGTCAAAGTCAGCTTTAACTTGTTTCTTCTTCCCAGAGTTTAGGATGGATTTTAAAAGTGTCTCTTAGCTGGGTGAAGAGCCAGATCTGCCTTGTCGTTTCCAACTGTGTGGCTCCCTACCTCTTTCCCTACTTCATCCCCGTCTATGGAGACAAGCTCCTACGAAGGCGAGTGACACACAGAGCCATGTTTAAATGAGTTGTAGCCAAAGTTTTCTATGAGTTAATGCTAGTGTTGCCTGTTGTGTTGACAGCAAAAAGAGGAGGAAGATCAGGTGAGTAATGGTCCAAAGCTCTCCTGGTCAGTCTCATTATTGTAGATGATTTGGTTGTTCTGTTAACCTGTCGTTGCCATCCTACATGTGCACCAGGGTTTCCCATTTTCCATTTCATCACCTTGAATCATCACAAGAAAAGACAATGTAATATTGTTTTCTGTTTCCTCATGCTCTCCCAGAGGCTCACTGGCAAAGTATGTAGTTTATTCCTGTTGCATAGTCAGTAAGGTTGGACTTTAACTGTAATCGGATCATAACAACCATCTATATGTTTGCGTTAGGTGGCTGCTGGCGTATGAGAACACGATGTCTTTCCACTTCAGCAATTACTTTGTCGGTTATCTGAGCGAAACTACTGCGACTCTCGCCGGGGCGGGCTTTACGGAGGAGAAGGAGAACCTCAAATGGTGAGAAATCATTCACCTCCTTTACTATTATTTGTGCTTGAACAGGATAGGATCGGTATGTGGGCTTCACAGTAGATGTTCATTACATTTGTTCAAGAAATGTAATGCTCAGTTCTGCCTATTTTGAGCTGTTTTAGGGCGTCTAGTCACATTAAACCCATATAAGTTGCTGCTGATCACGGCCCCCCAACTCTATGTTTACAGTCACGTGAAAATGGCTGAAGACCGATGTGCAGTTATTCAACCGTACATCTTTGAAAAGCATTAGTAGAGCCTCCTGGACAACTAACAAGAATGCAGCAAGTGATTTATAGGAAGTAAAAACCAAAATATTTGTCTTTTCCAACAACAAATCCACTGGTAGAACCAGCTGATCAAATGTGCTGGAACTCCACTTGAGTTGCTAGGTAACGGGGCTGAGCTTGGCTGGTGTTGCTCGGTAACGGGGCAGCCCCCAATCATTGTGACTTAAGGATTTTGAAGCGATTAATTTTCCAGAAATCATCAACTTTTTGCCCGAAAACGTTGAGCAGTCGGGTTGTTTTCAAAAGCAGTTGAGAACCAAATGGGTAGAAAATGTGCAAAATGTGAATTTTGCATAACTGTTTCCAATTAAGCTAAGAAAAAAAAAGCATCCATCTGTTTGATTTAATTCCTGTTAGACTCCAGCAGGTTTCCGTTTTGCGTTGCAGGGATCTGAGCGTGTCCAAGCCGCTCCAGGTGGAGTTTCCCCGCTCCATGGTGGAGGTGGCGACGTCGTGGAACGTTCCCATGTCCCGCTTCCTGCACACATGTGAGTGGCTGGCAGCAGGGACTGCAGGACTCATGTTAAGATAAGATCACCTACACAGTTCAGCATTTAAAGGACTCAATAATTATGGAAATGGAAAAGAAGATGGGATTTCATTTGTATCTATATTTTGTTCTTTCTTTCTTTTGTCCCTTCTTCAGTTTGTTCTTTTGTCCGTTGTTCTTCATTTAATTTGTCCTTTCGTTTTTCCTTTCCATCTATTATCCTTTTACTTTAATACCTTCTGTTGTTTCTTTTGTTTATTCTTTCTTTTTTTCTCTCTTTCTTTGTTTTCCTTTCTGTTGTGTTTTCTTTTTTTTTCTTTATCCTTTTGTCATTTTTTCTTTTGTCCTTTCTCTTGTTTCTTTTATCTTTTAGTTCTCTTTCTTCCTTTCTTTTGTCTTTATTATTACTTTTTCTTTCTTTCACTATTCCTTTCTTTTTGCCTTGCTGTCTTTCCTTCTTTTTTTGTTCATCCGTCCTTTCATCCTTTCCCTTTTTTGTCTCTTTTCTTTCTGATAAAGTATTTTTATTTTTTATTTTCAGGCTTTGTATTCAGATCCTGCCTCCATGATGTTTTTTAGATGTTGGTATTTAATATTGGACCACATGAACTTAAACTCTGGATATTTGTTGTCTCATTTTCTTCTCTCAGATGTTTTCAAGAGTGCCGTCAAATTTGGGACGTTCACTGCCATCATGGTGACGTACATGGCCAGCGCGCTCTTACATGTGAGATTATGTAACTTTGTCTTATTTTTAATGTCTTTGTATCAACAAGATTGTTGAAGTTTTTTGTACATTTCAGGGTCTAAGTTTCCATCTGGGTGCAGTTCTGATATCTCTGGGGTTCATTACGTACGTGGAGCACGGTAAGAGCCGAACGAATGAAAACATTTCTGTTTAGAGAAAGTATTTAACTGCTTCAGTTAAACATACTGCTTGTCGTTTTCCTCCATGTCTTTCATTCCTTTATTTATTCTAAGGCGTTGACTGTTTTATTTCAGTTTTTCGGAAGAGGCTTGCCGCCATGTTTAATGCGTGCGTACTTTCGAGGAAATGTCAACCAAACTGCACTCACCAAAACAAAAAGGTAATGTGTGATGCGTTCATATTTTTAGCTGCTTTTCAACTAAAGGAAAATAAATAATTTAAAAATACAATTAGAAAACAAACTCACATCTCAGTCAACCAGAAAAACCCAAAAACCTGAGAAATCCATTTTCACGACCGAAGCAAAGCATCTTCAAAATAGTAAAGAAAACATTAAATTTTTTTGTAAAACTAGATCCTTGTGAAGTGCATTTAATTTTCTGAAGCTTTAAATTTTACTTGTTAAATTGTCTGTTTTAGCTACTTTTTCAGAGCCTATATAAACCGTAATTATGTTGAACCAAAGAAGATTGCAAGTGTCAAACATCAGGTTTTTGTTTTAAACAAATGTCAAATGAATTTCTTGGTGTTTTTTTAGATCTGCTTTTCTCTGCACTGCATTCAGAAATATAACCATGAAATCGCTCATGTTTGTTGTTGCTGCATTGATTGTCGAGCAACACTTAACAATACCAGACTATCACATTAGGAAACATGAGATCTTACACTTGAAGTGTGACTAAAGAAGCATGAATATCATATTGCGGTGCCTACACGGAGTGCTGGAGTGAAAATACAGTGATCTGTTGCTACTCTCGAATATTTCAGTAATTCACTGAAATGTTTCCCAGAAAAACATTTTTAAAGAAAACATGATTTAGTTTGGAAATAAATATTTATTTCAAGAAGCTGCCATATATACTGCATTTCTTCCTGTAATTACATTGCTTAGCTTATGCAGACTAAGTCATGTTATCATGGGTCACATACTTTAAAATTAAACCAGTCAAGGCTGCATGAGATCCAGAGTCGCCTACCATAATGCTCTCTCTGTTTGCAGAAGCTGTGGGTGTATATGATTAACATAGCATTTTCTGCTTTGGCAATACTTCACTTGACATATCTGGGCTCTGTGTTCAACTCCAGCGTGGACTACATGGAGGAGGATGAGGTGAGATGAGAGACTGCTGCTCCACTGAGAAAATGCACATTTTGCTGCAATAAAGCAGCATCTGAAATGAAAGAAACAGAGAAAATGTAGCTTAATAAACGGCTCAACAGACACTGCTGCACTGCAGCTGATGTGAGTCTGTGCTGAAGCAGCGCAAGTGACATCGTCTTTGTGCTATGTGTGTTAATGCGAGTCAAAAGTTGAGTTGAAATTTTTGGTATTTCAAGGACAAAAATGACAATAATTTATACAAGTAACAAAAAATAAATAAATAAAATCAGGCAAAAACATTTATTTCAGTATAAACTGCAGTTTTCTGTCTGCGTCTGGTAAATTTTGGGTGAAATATGTTTGTTTTTGATTCAGTGAGAAGAAAATACAGAAATGAAGCAGCGATACTTCATAATAAAATTACTCAAGCAAAATTAAAGCTTACTGTGACTTTAAGATCGATGGTACTGTTAAATTGTTTGCACTTTTTTATCTTGTCCTGCGGAAAAAAGGTTTATTTTTTAATCTAAACACATCCGGCTGATATTTATTAGATTGTTTTTTTTTGTAATATATAAATATATTCCTTTAAGTGAATATCTAAGTGAACTAACAATTGTAAAATAGCAATTGTTACAGTTGTTTTCTTTGTGTTCTCGTCAGAATAAAACTAGAAACCATCCATTCGTCACGGCCTAATTTTAAATAAAACCAGCCAAATGCAGAAAGGACCCGGTTACACATGCCTACAGTTGCAGTGGACCCTGTGTGTGAAACGGCATTAGCCTAACTTTGATTTGATTTTTACGGAAATCTCTCACGCTGCTTCTCCTTTTGGGGAAGGATGGTGACAGATTTGAGTCGCATCTTTTTAAAGATCTTCAGTGACTCTATTTATATACGTAGCTCTGTGACAAGAGAACACATTTATAAAGTATTTATAGCGGAACGATTCGTGGCTTTATCTGTGTTCACACTGCAGCCTTAAGTGGCCCAATCCCGATTTCTTTTTTTCATGACATGTGAAAAAGGCTTTATTGGATATTTATTGGACAACCAATAAATATCAGATCTTTTCAAATGGGACCTGAATCTTAACGGTCGTGTCGCCTCCAGCGAACCAAACGTGATTTATACTCAACAAACATCACTATTTTGCGCCCTGATGCTCACAACATAAAAAACAACAACCATGGCGGACAATGAGGATTAAGTTGTTGGTCGGACAACAACATTAAAATCTATGCTCCACCGTTAGCATCCATGTTTGAGCACTTCTTTTCTTTGTCGTCTTCTTCCTTTTATGGCGGTTTGCAAAACACTGATCACTCCCTCTGTGTGACGTTATTGCGCCCTCTACTGCGCAGGCGGGAATCTTTCAGGTTCTTTACAGTACACGCTGGAGATAACATGCAAAAAATCAGGTTTGACAAAAAAATCTGAATTGGGTCACATCAGGCTGCAGTGTGAACGCAGTCTATGATGCGTGATTTATGTGATCGCCTCCTGCAGGACGAGATCACCCACCACACCATTCAGAAGTGGTCTGAGCTGAGCTGGACGAGCCACTGGGCCACGTTTGGATGCTGGATTCTGTACCGCCTCACTCTCTAACAACTGGAGACCAAGAAGAGAGAAGCAATAATGAGAAGCAGGTTTTTCCACTTTTTTGTACTGTGACTTCATCCTGCATCAGACTTGCAGTTTTCAGGTTGTGCTGTATGCGGGTCGGGGAATGCTGTTCTAACTTTCTGGGGACTGGTTTTGATATCTGTGAAAAGAAAAAGACAGACCACACCGCCTTTTTCCCCCTCCCTTTTCTCTGTTTCGCATTCCTTTTTATCTGAGGCTCAGTCATCATGGCCTCCTGTTGTGGCAGCGTTTACCGCTGTCACTGACTCACAATCAATAACTATCAGCATGGCGGACACGTGACGACGCGCGCGAGGCAGATGTCCCCCAGTGGCGACAGCCCACCATGTCGGCTGTTTCCTGGTCATGCAAAGCCTCGTAAAACTTTTCACGTTTAGTCTTTTTTATATCTCATCCCAAGATCAAGAAGGGCAAAATTGTGAAGTGGAAGAAAAAACTTGGGATGCAAGTTCAGCTGCAAGTCTTTCTGGCTTGCATCAAATTAAGTTTTTGGTCATTCTTATTTGCAAAATAGCTCAGAGAGCAGCTTTAGATTTGGACTTTAACTAGGACATTCTAGCATATTTATATGATTTAATCCAAAGGTTCGTCCAGTCGTTTACTATCTTAGAAAATGCTTAAATTTCGATTTTGTTTTGGAAAATGTTAGATATTCTGATATATTATCTATTCTAATTTAGTAAAGTAGGAATAAATGAAATAATAATAAACTGATTTTTATTTTTGTTCATTTGTGGTGCTTTTATATCCAAAGTTTGGTGGTGGGAAAGTTTAAAAACTTACCTGGAAAATCCTTGAAAAGTATTAGCTCTACATATTTTCCCATTAATTCTGACTGTGGGATGGCTTCCTCATCCCACAGCATGCTACAGCCACCACTATGTTTCATAATCCTCTTTACTCATTAATGTTTTACAACAAACCTCAACCATCCACAGAACTGCATTTAAAATGACTAAAAAAACAACAAAATAAACTTGTTTTTGGATCTTTGTTAAATATTTCCCTCCACTTCATAATTAGAATCTCAATAAAATACATTTAAGCTTTTGGTAATGTGACAAATGTGAGACGTTTCAAGGTGCCGTACCGGTGACATTTCCTCGTCTTTTTGTCCTCAACACATTGAATTAAACGTCCAGAATCAATAATGCAGTTTCCTGTCTCTGTGATTTTTTTTTTTTTTTTTGTATTCTGTTTTGTTTTGTTTTTTTCTCCCAGCCAGCCTGCGTCGTGGCTGCTTGTTTGCGGTTCTGTCAGGGAGCCTAATCAAAACCCACAGAATTGAATTTTTTATGAACCCTGGTAGGCAGGTGGAGCATGGCTAAAGGAGACAGCCGGAGACTCTGGCTGCTGTAACCAGTCGATTGTGTGAAACTGCTTCCAATTTAAAATACAAGAGCCAGGAAAAAAAACAACGCACGTCTCTTTCTCCTCCTAGGAACCAACAAAGTCTTTATTTACTGAATTCAACAAGCACATGTTGTTACTAGACTGCATTTTTACCACCACTAACTAATCCTCCTTTTGTGATTTTTAGACATATTAACGGTTTTAGATGATTCAGATTTTTTTACTAGTGTAGTGTCCTGATGGTGTTTTTATTTTGCTCTGACTTGAATTATGTCCTTAAACATGTGATTTTTATTTTTTTTCCCTTCTTCTTTCTACAATATAACTTAAGAATCAGGGTATTTGAGATGTATTAACAAAAATTCTCTTTCAGCTTTGTGTGAACTAAAATAAAATAATTCATTATTCTATACCAAGCATTTCTCTTACCTCCAGGTTTTTACTTAATAGTTGCGTTTACTGATTTACCATCTGATGAACGGGAATGAGTGTGTGCATCAGAAAATGAAGATTTGGTGTTAGATATGAGCTTTTGTTGATGTGCCAAGTTTCTGCTGTAGTGCCATTCAGTATAATAACCACTGTAAATACCTTATATTTGCTTTATATTCGTGTTTTGTCCCTAAATATGTAAAACGCAACGTCATACCTGTGATATTTTTATAAAATTTTACATGAAAAGTAAAGATGGAGTCCTTGTTTTGATTTAGCGAATCTCAATAAAGTAGAATCTCATTGAAAATGTATTTAATTTTGATAATATAATTCAAAATGGATTCAAAAACAGTCTGTTAAAATACAAAGTGTACATTTAATTTGCTTTCTTCTGGAAACATATTTATTTAAGAGTATAAGATAAGACTAAATATGCATCTTATAACACTGATGTGGACATTTGTCCAGCTGGACAATTAAATCAGCAAATCGATGAAGCTTCTCAGAAGAGAAAAAAAACATCTCATTCTAAATATCTGCTCTGATTTTGGTCTTGATAAAAACATGAAAAAGCAAAACCATCAGGTGACCTCTTATTTAGTTCACTTGTATTGTTTTTATTGACAATGTGTGGCGCTGGAACAGTTTGAAACTTACCTTGAAAATGCTTAAATTTTACTGTGGGTAAAGTTTACAAACTCAATTTAGATATATATGGATATGTATTTTTTTGTTGTTTCAATGAAAATGTACAATGTATGCTAATGTATATACTTGGCATTCATTATATCGTGGCTATCATGCCTGGAGTAACAAAAAAAATAATTTATTCAAATCAACTTATTCAAATTATAAATACAGTTTTGACTTAATTAAAACAGTAATTGTGTTTTGTCCCTAAATATGTAAAACACATACAGTAACAGCATTTCTGCTCTAATAATGTTAATTTTTAGTGTGTTACTTGAAGTAATAATTAATCAATTACTAAATTAGTTGTTGATTATTTCAACAGTCGATTAATCCAATTAATTGTCTCTTACATTAAAGGTATAGTTTTGATTACATTTACTAAGACGGTACATCACAATATCAGCTGTGTGTAAGAAATATTCTTTATTTGAAACAGTATTTACAAAAAGAATGTTTGCATAAAGGAGGGATTAGTCTGATCCAGCCTGGAGTCTGTTTCTTCACATCCAGAGAGGAAGAGTTTGGGTTGGACAGGCTGAGAGGAGCAGATGGTGATGGATGGAAATCAGGTCTGCCTTGTGCCTCTCTGTGGGGGAAAGCAGATGTTGTATTGCAGCAGCTTGAGAAGGGAAGGTTCGCTCAGCCCCGTCTCCCCTGAGGACCCCCGTGTTTACGACGACAGGACCCCAGCAGCGTCTCCAAAGCCATCTTCACAAAGGCCTGGAAGTTATTGCTTCTCTCCCTTCGGCTGTCCTGCGAGGGGACAAAACGGAGACAGATACCTTCACTGGGAACTCAGTGGGCTTTACTACTTCCTGTATCACAAAGTTGTTTGTGTCATCGTCTGGATTTTGGCAAATGCTTACCTCCTTGCTTCTTGTTATCATCTCCTTTCTGATCACCTTTTTTCGGCTGTTCTTTAGGACTCTGAGGTTGCTGTGAAATTAAAACCCAGGTACATATCATCAAAAACATTTAATATTTTTATTTTGAATGTTGCTCAGGGCCGGTCAGAGCCTTTTTGGGGCCCTAAGCAGCTTTTTTGGTGGCCGTCCGTCCCCCATACCAACATGTAAACACCAGATGATTTATTATAATTTAGCACACCTGTTGTCATTAGCACAATTTGTAATTAGCATGCTTTATACCAGGGCTATTATGACTGTTCATTTTAACCTTACAGGAGTAACAAAAATAAAAATGAAATTGGGTTTTGAAATGTAGTGCGGTATTTAAGTGTAGCATTTTATCTTAACTATTTGAAACATTAAATTTAATGTCTTATGTTTCCCCAACAGTGGCAGCAGAAAGAGATTAATCATTATTATCTATAAAAATAAAATAGAAATAGTTTTTCCATGTGTGATAGCAGTTAGCTTGCAGTTTTCAATGTCATTTAAAATATCTTTTTTGTTATGCTAATTTGGTGCTCTTGGTGGCCCCCTGGTGGCATGGAGGGCCCTAAGGAGTCGCATTGCTTTGGGCCGGCCCTGAAGCTGCTTCTCCAAACACATAGAAGCAGCATTCAGCTTCTATGCATCTCAAATCTGGAAGAAACTTCCAGAAAACGGCAAAAAAGCTGAAACACTGAGTTCTTTTAAATCAAGACTAAAAATCCAGCTGTTTGGAGTTGATTTTTGAGCATAATAAATGGAACATTTACCGGCATATTTGATGTGTATTGATGATTTTAACAAAGGTATTTGACAAAATAAAATGGTTTATTTTGTGCTTATGATTGAAATATAATTTAAGAAAATGGTCATCAGTTCATATCACAATGTGAGAAATAATAATCAACATCAATGTTATTTTTTTCATTTAACTAAGCTGTCAAATATTACTACTTTATTTATTTTAAAAAGAACTTGCTAAAAATGATGTTTGCTCATAATGGCATGCAATTATCAATGCATTGTACTATTTATAGACATACAGAAAATACTAAGAAAGCGTTAAAATTAAGATATTATAAATAGTAATTTACTGGATGACACTTTATATGTAAGATTAAAACAAGTTCATGCTTTTACACACTCCTTTCAAAGTGTAAATATACCTTACTGCTGTTCTTCTTTTGTTTTAAATGTATTTTTTTAGTATAAAAGCTTATTTTATTACACTAAGTTCAAACAGAGACAAACTCAAACTGCCATGTTGCTGAAATGTGCTATGAAAACTTGCCATTTATCGTATCATTTATCATTTATTGTGATAAATAAATGAAATCCTCATCATAATAAATTCCAGGTAATGAAGTTTAAAAATCCCTAAAACTCTCTGTATTGTCAAGATTGATAGTTTCATCATTTTTTTCCACTGTTTGTTCAATGAAAGCATCAATAAATGCAATAAATTTGAAAATATAACTAACCATGTGCATGTTAGTAAAAAAATGAACACTTATTTATGAGACTAGTGTAAAAAGGAGGAAATTACAAAAGGAATGTTCTTCAAGAGCATTGTTTGTGTTTGTGGGGGTATAATTGCTGTGACACATAACGTTCCCTTAAGAAGATTTAATAAATAGTTTTAATTGTCACTTTTATGTTGCAAAACATCACAATAAAACTTTAAGTTCATATCGCCCAGTCCTGTGAGCTATACATGTAAATTGATTAATTGAAATATAAAAGTGAGTATTTACCTTGGTAGCTGACTTCTTGTCCGACTTATTACCTGGATGTGGTTAAATCACAAGATGTGATTAAAAGATGTACAACACAGCTATTGGTTATTTAATTTTAGCTTTGATTTAGTGTTCAAATAATAAAACCTATTTCACAGAATATGGCGGTCCATGTTGCTCACCTTTCGTTCCTGGCATGTTGGCTGTTCTCCAGAGTCTTTGCTGTTTTGTGTTTTTTATTTGGAGGGGAATCGCACTGCTTAATGTGCGGCCCGAGTCGACCATTTATGGGCCGTGCTTGTGAATGGCTCCGACACTGGGGCCCCTTCGAGAAGAGCAGCGAGAACAAGCAAAGAGCGCGGTCAGCTGAGCAGCGTGACCCCCGGCTCTGCAGGCCTTTGCTGAGCCAGGCGAAACCTTCTAATCTGCCATTGTGAACTTACTGGAATTGGGCGCTCAGCCATTGTTTGATTCCCATTGTGGTTAAGTATATGTTTTTATTTCACTGAACTGAATCAAGTATGGTTGTCTCATTGTTTAAAAATGCCTCTGATGTTGTCAGAATTGTATTGATTTGGATTATATATTTAGTTTTGTTGGCGTAGAGTATCCAAAAACTGAAAGATAAGCACTACTGTCCAAAACATTAAAAGTAAAAAGTATTTGGTAAAATACTTGTCTGTCAAGTGATACTGATGAAAGCACCAAAAATTACATAATCAGACACACCAAAATACAAACTTATGTGGAAACTTTTGGTATTTTAAATATCAAAATGAACATAAGCTATATAAATAACTCAACAAAACAATAATGATCAAAACATCAGGAAAAAAAAAGCACATTGATGTAATTTAGATACATACAGGACAAACGTGGTTTGATTTGATTGATAAAATAAGAACAAATCAGGCCTCATAAAAACCTGTGACTGGATTGGAGGGCTCTGAGTCTGACACAAAAATCAATTAATCGCATAATAAATTAAAATGAGCTCAATCATTTCCCTTGGCTATTTGGCTAGTTTTTGAACGGAATTTTTTTATATATAAATAAGACGGACATGATGATCCATCTTATTTATGGTTTTATGGTATTTAATGAAATTCTATTAATGTTTTGAGATGTTCATTTCGGATTATTAAAATATCAGTTGTCTTTTGTCAGTTTATTGGTTTCTGAAAGGATGAAGGAAGGTTGTGTAATTATCAATATATTACTAAAATATCGCCTCAAAACAACAGTATTATCGTTTGTCTCAATAATTACCGTTACAATTTATCGTCCGGCACAGATTTTTAATTGTGACAGGCCTACATTTGCAGTAAATAATTTAAACTAGCCATTTTGTTTAAAGTGCCCTCGCACAAACCGTGTCGGTGAATCTCGGTGGAAAGAGTAATATATCTTAATCTCGTCTGATTCAGGAGATCCCGCGTCAGCCTGAGAGGGTTGGTCACGCGGGTCACGTGACTTGACAGGAACAGAAGCGATGGAGAAAAGCTAAGGAAGGTGAGCCGTTTCTAAACATGTTTCACCATCTATCATTGGGAATATCGCCACGCTATGACATTTATCTGTTGTGTACCATCAATACGTGATACAGTCCTCAGTTCGGCGTCAAACACTTACACATAAATCTGTTTATTTTCTGCCAGAGCAGTGCTAAAGTTCTATTAGCTCTCTTGCTAGTTGCTAACTGATGCTAGTTAGCTTTGCTGCTGCAAAATGCTCTTCTTCTGTGGCGGTTGCTGGAAAAATATCCAATAAAGACGCTTTTCTTGACTTTATCTGGTATTTTAAATGACGCTTTTCTTGTTATATTTGCATGTCAAAGGGAGATACTGAAACATTCAGCGATAGCATCGTATTTTCTCTGCTTCTGCATCATCAACTCATTCAACTGTTATGTTTTATCAGAAGTTTTAT